GCAGGAGCCGCAGCCCGGGGTTCCCCGCACAGCCGCTTCCTGGGGAACTCCAGCTTCCCGTCTGGGGATGGTCGCTTTCCAAAAGTACAGGTCTGAGCCTGAGCTGCAGATAACATTGCGTCTGCTGGGAACATTCAAACGCTTTGAGGTCCAAGGGAACCCCTTGGATAAGCCCAGCTGCAACCTGCATCCACGGAAATCATTCCCGCAGCAGCACGGATGTTTGGCATGGGTGGTGCCCCCTGGAGTGACCCTCCGGGCGATGGGCTCTGCCAGTTTGGAGTTTTCTTGGGCAAAGCTGTCAGTATTTAACGTTCCTAGGCAGACTTTCAGATTAAGTTGGTGTATACGGGGAAAGCAGAGCGTACAATTTGCTCCCCTGTTTGGCATAATTATAGGCTGTCCCGGTGCCTGGAACAATTTAATTAATACCTTAGGATAGGTTTTGCTGTCAGATCATAACACCGCCTTTCACAAAAGCTCTTGCCACCATCACCATTGCTGTGTCTGACACTGTGACAATGTGACGAACCCCCAGAGCTCTAGGTAGCGGTGCGCTGATATGATAAGTTCAACCTGCAATAGCTATGCAGAGGAATATCCTCTTTGATGCCCATTCTTTGGCCACATTTTTAGGATAAGAGATTGGGGAAAGGTATTTCATTACTCCCAAAACAACAAAGGCACACTGGCAGCCTCTTTACTCATGTTTATGCAGTGCTAAAGCTCTGGTGATGCCATTGCACTCCCCTAATAAACCACAGGGGTTTCACAACAAGATTGCAGCACAGTCTTGAGAAAAAGGAAGAAAATGAGTTGAGCCACAGAGAGAGACAGGAAGGATCACGCTGTCATCAGACCTAGACTGCCTCCAACAGTACTTTTTTTTCCTCAGCAGTCTGAGAACCCAGAAACCCAGAGCGACGTTTCGGGTTTTCAGCGAAGCCTGTGCAGCTGGGAAGCACTTTGAAACTCACTCCGGTTTTGGAACGTCGTGAGGTGACAGGCCAAGACCTCAGAGATGTGCCGAAAGGAAGAGCTCAGAAAACGCATTTGCATGAGACTTGAAGAAGAGTGCACAAGGGGCTGATGGCAGAACCATGCTCCCTGACACCCAGAGATAGCCCTGTCATGACATGTGCTAAAAAGACACCGATCCTTGGGTCTTTATATGGAGAAATCCAGGGCTGACTCAGGTTGGTAGGAGAAAGAGAAGGTAAATGGTGGGACCCTGCTGTACGTTGCAGGGGTTCTGCAGAGCTGTGTGCGCAGCCCAGCTGGGGAATTCCCCGACACAGGGAAACCCTCGAGCAGAGCCCAGCCGCAGTCACGGCTCCCAGGTGGGCTGCTGCCATCCCCACCTCCGCCCCGGGCAACAGCCCTGCTCACAGCATCGCTCAGGCACTACCAAAGCCTCGGGCATCTTTAAGAGACACCACAGGACCACGCTGAGTAGAGGTGGAAACCAAACTCTGGGGTGGACGAGCCCTGTTTGCAGAGTCAGCCTTTCCTCCAGCCTCCTCCCTTCATGGTTGCAGCTAGGATTTTCACTGCTTGTGTAAATCTCCAGCCTCACTAGATTCAATCACTCCAGCTGGTTTTAGCTGTTCCTGTTGCTTCCTTTCAGCTAGTGATCACTTCTGCAGCCTCCCGAGTAACAAGCTGCCTTTTTTTTTTTTTCTTGTATTAATTACTTTGGGCATTTGGGGGACTTCACTTAACTGAATCAACACAGCATCATTCTTACAAGTACTTCCCTGGAGCGTGTGAATGGGTAATACACCGATGGAGCAGGCTGGACCGCTTGACAGGTTCACCGTCTGACAGCTGAAACAGGAGAGGGTCTGAATCGATGTCAAGTCCGGTTTTAGAGCATTTATTCCTTCGCCGCTGCACCACACACTTGCAAAAATATCTCTGTTCTGTTTTCATACAGAAATCTAAAACTTCCTCACCACTGAAAATCAACCTTGTTTAAGTACTCTGGACCACACCAAGATATTCCAGTGGCGGGAATACCAAGATTTTTTGTGTTGGAAAGGCTAAACTAGCAATGCTAAATTAGTTCATGCTACTCGTTAGGACTACCCTCCTTCCTTGGTATTTGGAGGCGGGAAGATTAGTGGTGGGGTCGGGGGGGGAAGGACAGTTAAAGCAAACAGTGAATATGAGGCATATGACAGCAGAGAGAGTAAACCAAGTGAAAATGACCCAATTTTCTACTGATTTGTTCAATGAGTTACTGCAAGTAATTTTTTCCTTGTGCTATTTATGGGGTTTCCCTCTTCTAAATGTTACCATGGTCACTGTGGTGTAACGTTAATTTGTTTATATAATCCCTGAGTTGCACATATAGACCCGGATGTTACTTCAGAACCACTGCATTTGGGGAAGATTTTCTAAAACCTGCACATGAGAACTTCACGGAACAGTGATTTTTTATCATAACACTAACGGGGCCTCCTTCAGAGAAGGGCACAACACTAACTGTCCTGCGACGAAGAGAGGGCTGCTCAGCCCTGCTGATGCTCTGCTCCCCTTAGAATCTGCAATTAGGCTTCAGCCTTGTAATGCTCTTGTTTTAACTGTGTGTTCCATCGCTTCTCTTCATACCACGCACCAGCAAAAGAAACTGATGAGTTTGGTTTAATATTGGATTTAATTAAGATAAACCTAAGAGATTAGGAGCTCAAGAGCACAGTGGAAAGTATAAAACAGTATGTATTTATTGCATTTAGTCCAAATATTAGTTAACTAAAAAAAAAAAATTCTGCATTTTTCCTACAGCTTATTTTGTGGCTTAAAATTGGTACAAGACCAAACCTCTTTGAGTATTTACTTTACAGTAGCAACATAACTTCTTTGTAGCCTAACATATCATATGCAAAATACTACTTGAATCCAAAAAGGGTATTAAAACTCTGGGCATGAGATGTCCAGAAATTTAACTGTGTCTCAGCCCATGTTAACTTTATTTCTACAATATAAAGCAGAGTAACATTTTACAGAAACTCGTATTATGAATGAAGCTGTCCTCCATGAAGTGTTTGTTGGTTGAAATTGCTAACAATGAAGTAAAAATACTCATAGATGTATTTTAGGCTTAACAGATTGACTGATTCACAGCCTTGGGGAACTTCACCTGTTCTGTCTGAGTGGGAAGCTGAGGGCAAACATTTATCACAACCCAGCAGAGTGTAGTCTGACTTCAAGTTGTATTTAAACAAAAAAATAAAAACAAGACCTTTTGCACTTGTTGGTTACAGAGAGGAACAGCCACGAACAAGGATATTCCTCCACTTTTGGTGCTTCATGTGCTTACAAAGCTCAACAGAGACCTTTGATAAATAGTTCCTTTTACCCAGTAAGTTCATTATATTGGAAGTAAACATTAAAACAGTACATGTCGTACCTTTTTCAGCTTCCACATTTTGCATACTGGGCACTGAACAGTCTGACTACTGTGACATACACAGCATAAATTAATTTATTCTTCATTTGGCTTCATGACTCTCCCGGATTTTTTTTGTAGTTTGTAGTGAAAACTTAACAGCATCATTACATTCACGTGCCACTGCTACGGTAGGTTTGGACTTCCTGTAAGAGTAGCACTCTTGCCAACCTCCCCTGCCTCCTAGTAACAAACTTCTACAGGATACTGAAGAGCAGATAATTTCTTTCCTTTACAATTCCCTTCAAATACTGACACAGAGGCTGGCACTATCACAGCACTTCTTCCTCGCTGTAGTACAGTGGCAAAATGCAGTGATGCAAATGAGTCAAATTATCTTCAAAGTAATCTAAAATACCTTACATGAAGCATGGATGTAACAGTCATTAACAGTTTAGCACTTATCTGGTACTGGATGGACAGTAAAGTTAGAAAAAAATGATGTCCCAAGTTTGTTTATTTTAGTGCACTGCAAACTTGCACCAAGTCAGGTTGCATACGTGTTTTTTAACGTCCCATACACACACAAACACTTTGGTCTCCTAACTGATTTGAAGAGTTGAATTTCATTCCTTAAGGAGGGAAAAAAAGAATCCTCTAATTTGGTTATTCTACACAGTTATTCTATAGAGTTTTGTTTGTCAACACTAATGCATGGTTTAGTACTTAGTCTCTGCTGCCTTCAGCGTCCTGCTGCGCTCCAAGCAGACGAGAAGCAGCACTAATTCATTGTCTTACAAACTGTATTCCTACACTCTTACCTCAAAAACAGGCTCAAAATTGATCTTGGGTACTTACTGTAAGTGCACTTCAGTGAGAGCGCCATATCCATGCCCTAGACGCTTCTCACCTGCCTCCTTTTCCGCTTGGATTAGTACCCAAAAGCCACTCTTCCCTTCCAAACCCGAGTGGGAGCGGAGAGCCCTCCCCAGGCAGAGCTGGGCTCCCTCTGCCCTCCCTGAAGCCTGTGCAAGGATCCAAAAGGCCTCAAAAAGAAGGGGGACACATATCCCTCTGGTAACTGAAACAAACCTCCAGTTAGACGGTTTCTTCAAAATATCCTTGTAACAAAGAGGGTTGGCAAGGAGGAAAAAAATGAAAAAAACCCAGAGGGTAGAGCCCTGCCACCAGCCACAAACATGCCCCGCTCTCTCCCTGTGCTGCAACAAGCCAGAGTACTCGCTGTAACAAATATGTGGACCTTCACCCTACAAAGAAAAGCTGAAAAGGTTTCCCAGCGAGCATGGAGCCAGAGAGGTGAACTGCGGTTAACCTCTGGTGGTGTACCTGACCTTCTAGTTCCACCTGATGTTCAGATGCTTTTGTTTCTCAAGCACAGACAGCAGTTCTTGACACACAGCAGCTTTCAGGCTATTCTTCTTGACCCTCTGAATGCTCAAAACCAGAGCAAGTACAGACGTAGCACACGTGGGAGTTGCAAAGAAATCCTGAACTCCCCTTCAAGTGGCTGGACTTGAACCTTGCAAGACTGCATTCTATAAAGAGCTTTTTTCCTACATTGACAGCTACTCTATGTTTAGAATTTTGTCAAAATTATTATAAAACATTTATTGACAGTAGCAATAAACAGAACAATTTTTTTGTAAACAGAAATTAAAGCGGAAAATGGCTTTAAGTCATTTTTGATCAGCCAGCTGTACAAAAGCTTAAGCAAAGCAGCAGTCAGGGAGGTTGGGTTTGGAAGAATCCACGCTGAGTTCAGGAGATGTCATGCCTTATTAGATCACCAAAATAAGCTGTTATTGTCTTCAGTTTGTTATTGAGAAAGTTTTGTTCTATTTCAACTTTCCCTCCTGGCCCTGCTAAGGAAGCCACCTGAAAAACAAAGAACAAAAAGCAAATCAATCAATGCACAGGAAAAGAGGCAAAACCCCAAACCTTTTATTCACGTGAAATATCATGTAAAACACATCTTTGGCTGGCTTTCTTGTGACTAAAAAAAATCCCTCTTCACCCCAAGCCACAAAAATAACAGTACTTCAGAACTAGAGATAAATAGTCATCATTTCACATGCTGTGCTGAGGCGAGAGATGCTAGGCTCTGGTTTGCAGGGTACTTGGCATTTGAGACACCCAGCTGCGGCAAAAAGCAAGCTGTAAACTGTGCTTTGGAGGTGTCAAAATCCCAAGTTTTGGGGGAAGAGTAAAACCAAATCCTGGAGTTAGGAAGCATAAAGGTTGCACTGACGGGGCGGGGGAGAACCAACCCAAACAAAAACCACCCCAAAACCCCAAACAGGCAGAAAAGCTCACAAAAAACAGTTACAGTTTGCTGTTGTTGCTATTGCGACCAAAAAAAATGCTGTTGCGTGCACTGGAGCCTCAGGCAGCGTTGAGGATAAGGCTGTGGGCAGCTGAGTAACTGCAGGCAGGGAGAGCCCATCAGGCAGCGCTCGTCCCAGGTCTCGTGTTTACGATCACTGGAGTGAGAATTTCACCGTTCATGCTCTGCTGACTGAGCCCGGTGCACACCTTTAATGCTTAATGATTACAGACAGACAACGTTTTGCAGCGGACTTTGCATTTTGGGCTGGAGCACGCAATACTCTCTCCTCTCCTGCTCCTACCCATGATGCCTAGAACCACCCCTTTGAGGGACGACAGCCACACAGGCTACCGATTTCTCACCAGGACAGACCACACAGACAGAAGGAAGAGAACACCACCAAAACTGAGCGTCGACTGCTTTTTCCCCCCACACCGTGGGCCCCGAGGACCTGTGCTGCGGTGGGGTCCCTGCTCCACTGCCAGTTCTGCTCCGTGCTGCTGTTTTCCCTGCGTGCTACAGGAAAACTATTTCTATAGTTCCTTATGCAGGGAAACTCCCTGGGCAGACACACAGCGATCAAGGTCTACAAGCCTGCAGTAGATTTTAACTGATCTTTAAACCAAGCAGTCCGTGATGTTAGCAGCTGAAACTTAAAGTTCAGGTTGCATTATTAACACTTCTAAACTCCTTTGAGACTTGACTCTGTAGAGCAGGTTTAAATATAAACATGCTGAACTTCCTCTATTTTACTTTAAGTAAAAAAACAGCCTACTATCAGGAGGAAATAACAGATTAATCTACATTATACTTTGAACCTTTATTGACTTGCCCAGAAAATTACCACACTTATCTAAACTAAGCATTTACGTTTCTGTTTTGTTTTTTCCCCTTTTCATTTTTTTGTTTCTGCAGACAAAAACAAAAGTGTGAGCATTTTCTTCATCCTTCACTTTAATGGTAATAGGAAAAAAGTCTCCATGTTCTTGTCAAAGAGGAACCTGCCACTTAAGTAAAAAAGCAGAAGCTGGCTGACTTATAAATAGCACAAGAATCTGAAATTGGCAAGTGATCAGGAATGTTAATTTTACGACTTATCTTTCCTTACTTGAAATCCTAAAAGCGATGTGGGGCGAGCCACATTTTTTTTTCTAGGAAGACGTTAAGTTTGTACATCTAATTTATTACGAACAAAAGCTGGAATGTCCCTTCCAAAAAGCGTTAGAGGCTTTGCACTTTATAGCTAGTGTTGTTTAAGTATTCTACAATATTAATTTGATTAGTCAACTTAACATAAGAATATTGAAATTCCTGTCTCGGGGTTACGTACTCCCGCTTTCAGGGCACAATTTGTGTCACTAGCATCTCTAAGTATGACGAATGCATTGATACTGAACACAAGTGTTTACTAAATATTTCTCTTAGAAGACCAAGTAAAGCAAAATGCTTCATCGGTAACACAGGCAAATGCTGCTCCTCCGCTGAGGGGTGGCGTCCACCGAAGGACACCCAAGAAGTTACATACACTGTGTCTAGTCTCTAAATGTTAAATCCAGGATAACTAAGGCTAATTTCAAACGACTACTAAAAGTATTTGATAAACCCAAAGGTGACAAAAATCTAAATAAGCACATGGACATAAGCTCCGCAGGGACGGATCGGCACCGCATGCTCCTCAACCCCCCTGATATTCAGAGGAGAGAAATGCAAATCCTCTGCGACGATGCTTATTTGTAAATTGCTGGAGGCTGCAAATTTAATTATGTAGGAGTTGCCAAGTTTTCCTTGGAAGGGCTCAGTCAACCCTGATGGCGTAACAAGGGAAAGCTGCCACACACCAAGCTTCAGAAAGGTGCCAGCTTGGCGGAGGGAGGCCCTCTAAAAATAACAGCAGATTGAGGAAAGATGCTTTGAGAAAAATGAAGGTGCTTACCTATTTTTAGAAACTACAATGGTGAGTACAGAAAGGCTTCTTAATTTCTTTTAAAAATTGGACTAGTCCAACATTTGCTTATTTTGCATTTTCCTTTGCAAATACGACGATTCCCTGCTGGCAACTCTCCTCGTCCTGGTTTGTTCTTTAGCCCAAACCCACGTACTTGGGGGGCAGATATTGCCTCCTTTGCTGCGCTGGGTAATTCTGCACATGCCACACACCTCCCTGGGCAGAGGCAAAGGATGCAGCTTCAGTTAACGCCTCCCTGCATCTCTCTCACCTGGATGCTTCATCCTTCAGTTCAGCGACTGCTGATGGAAATAGTCCGCAACTACAGACAGCCACAGAGCATTAAAAAAGTAGCCAGCAGGTTTGGTCTCGAGTTTAAAATAGGAGACATCACAAGAGGAATATGAAAAGGGAAATGAACATGGAAGATTACTTCAAGAGCACAAGTTGCTTAAAGTGCAAACTTGCTTTGTATTGTCAGGTGTATTTTTGAACTCGGAAGGTTTTCCTGCCGGCCTTGCAGGTTCTTTTTATCATACTGAAATTCCTTTAGTAAAGTAACTTCCTATCTGTTCCAGACACCAACTAAGGTAACTGTGGATAAAAAGTTTATCATCATTTCCCCCGCCCCCCAAGAAACTTTTCTGGGGTACGAGAAATACAAGCTTTTTGGCTTGATAGGCAGTCACACAAGGACACTGTGATTCATTTCATTTTATAGAACACCAGCAAAAAGAGGAACCCCCTCTCCCTGCAACCAACCTAAAGGCTAGGGGAAAAAATAAATCCCAATCCACTTGGAAAAAAAAGGCAATGGTATTCTTTACACTGAACATAATAAAACAAAATGCTCTCAGGCAGCATTTTTCAAAACGTACAGGTCTGCAGGTGAATTATGCCACTGCCACAGTGGTGCTGCCACCCTTTGACAGGCAAGAGATTTATTGTTTTTTTCTAAACTTGAGGTGGGCAAACTACAATTCAGTATTAAAGTGCTATGAGCATTAGGAAGACTGAAGTCCAGAAGCGCCACTCTGGCTTGGTGTACACTGGGAATATCTTCTGGCTTTATCTTTTATCAAGGACAGGGAACAGATGTGAGTTTAAAGTAAGCTGCTTAAAAGCTGCCGTTATAAACATGATAGTCACAGCTGAAGTGTATGCAATTACATTAACTCAGAAGTGATCAGCCTGCAAAACACATGAAGCCACAGTCTTTTACCTGCCAACTCCCCTAATACCCAAGCATCTTAAAAATACAATCAAATTAATCTGAGTTCATCTCCTGGCCTCTCACTCCCTGCTTTGCTTATTGTTATATTTACTTCTAAATAAACATGACATTGCTTGGCAGGTCCCATTTGGCTAGGTCTCCAGTCTAAAATCATAGCTAAACGAACGGGGCCAGTGGTAGTTTTACTAGTCAGCCTCCCATCAAATTTCTTAATTCACAGAGGTTACCATATATTCTTTTATTAAACTGATCTCTCTGGTATGATTTTCTGTTCTCTGAATGACACCAGACAGAATTAAAATAAATAAATAAATGAGTTTTACCCATCTCTACACTCCCTTCATTGACCAGTGATTTGTAACAACTGGACTTTCAAAAACAGAAACACAGCAAACATCTTCCCATCCAGGCACTAGGCTTGCAGACAGAACGAGGCTTCGGTGTCTAACTCCAGATTCTCTCAAAATGGATGACAAAGATGAGGTGGGAACAAAGGCAAGAAAAAAAGAAAAATACCTGCATGATGTGTATTCTTTGTATGACTATCAAGGTCAAGAGCACTTTGCTTAATTCTGGGCTCAGGGAATCACTCTACACACTAGACAAGGAACAAAAGGTAGTTTGTATCTTCTGGTAGTATTTGGAATATAAGCCAGGTCTGAGACACCAACATTTAGGACAGCAAAAGCTCCAACAGTGAAATTTCACTAAATTAGGCATAGCTATCACAAACAACAAAAAACCAAACACCCGCCCTCCAAAACCCAAAAAACCCCAAACCCAGGAATCTGCCCAATTTATAAAGTTTTGCACCAGTCAGCAAGTCTTCAAACAGTAAGGACGCACACAAAGTTTTCAATACAGAAAACAGGAAGAGCTCTGAAAAGTGACTGGTTAAAAAAAAAAAAAAAAAAAAAAAGAATTATCCACAGTGCATAAAGACTAACGTAAACCTTTCCCTGCCTCCCACCTTGCTTCAGTTTCTAAAAACACAGTATCTTCAGTGAATAAATGCAGCCCATAAGGTCTTCCTAGTGGGGACTGTGTTACAAACCTATACAACACCAAGCAGACTGCCGGTAGGTCAGCTCTTGAGGGACAGAACTACAACTGGCTGGTAACAAATAAATCACTAGCTAGTTTAAGTGGAGAGAGGCTGCCAATTTGTATTACGATCCCAGTTTATACAGTTCCAGTCAACCAGTAGGAATCTCATGGGAGAATACCATAAATAACATAGCTAGAAGAGCATATGCCTGTGAACACCTTGCTAGCGCAGAGCATTTATCACTTCCCACTGGATCTCCCACACATCTGTGAAATGTCGCACCACGTCCACCACACAGCTGCTCTCATGCAGCGCATCCTCC